CAATTTAGTTTAATTTTTTTTTGAAGTCAAATAATCAATAAGCAATCAATTAATTTTATTACATCAATATATATAATCCATAGAAAGTAGCATAGCATTATTTATGAGCTAGAAACAACAAAATGCAATCATTCCTTCATTTTATCCAATATGCAAAGCCTCACATCCAGTTGAATTAATTATGACTTGATGGTAAAAAAATTATGACTCTTCTATAATTAGGAATGAGTGCAAATTATTACTCTCAAACATCTCACTTGAAACTTCTCTAATTATGTGAATCTCTTTACCATGTGAATTGAATCATCTCAGACATGTGAAAATGATTGAGGAGGTAAAATTGTGCTATAAGCATCACTATACCAATGGATATTGTACATATATAAAATTATAAATAAACTCGTTAATTATTTAGATCATTAAAAATATTTGAAAATGTTGCTTCGATCAGCTGGCGGCTAATAAAAAAAGAAAAACTATACTTATTGAAAATAAATACATTTCAAGTACTATCTCCAATCTTAATTATAAGAGTTAGTTAACTAATTTGAGGAGATTAAAGAAAAAAGTTAAGTTAGTTATTTATAACAAATAGGTGTTATCTTTCCTAAAATATCCTTACTAATCAAATGTATTGGCTAGAACTACCATTATTAGAAGGATTACTTTGAGAAAAATGCATAAATATGAGAGACAAAGTAGATTGGGATCTTATATTTAGGGTCAAAATAAAAATCAAACAACATTTTATATTAAGGACCGGAGGTAGTACTTAGCTTAGTGAGAAAAGTTCAATTTTTAAGCTAAAGAGTTTAGGCCATTTGTTGGTATTTATTTTATATATATATATATATATATTAAAATTTATTCTTAAAAATATGAAATAAGGTTCAATTTGAATGTGTTTTATTAGGAACAAATTTTTTTTTTGACCTCATTAACTCTATCTAAAAATTAAATAACATACGGACATTTAACTAGAGGTGAAAGGAGAAATTAGTGATAAAAAATAGTACGTGCCTTATAATTATGATGAATTTATAAATAGCATGAAAGTAATTATAATTAATGTGTAGCAAAATTGATTATGGCATTAGTTTATGATTAAAAGTCACTGCCAATTATCGTCAGACTTCTGAGATGAAGCTTCCGGAATTGTGTGAACCTTGACCATGTGAATCGAATCATTTTAGATTTACGAAAATGATTGAGCAGATGAGAATGCCGAATGAGAAGATATTCTCTCAAAAAAAAAAAAAACTCAAATCTGGGTTTATACGTGTCCGTCTTTTATCCTTCCCCAATTATTTTATGTCCACTCCCAATTCTTTTTCTTTCATTAATGGACAATTTTATTACAGTCTTGGACCTTCACGTCAATACCAGAACAAAGCATCGACCAGGAAAAACTCGAGCTATAATAAGTTCAAAACTCTTAACTAAAAAAGTTATGACATTTAACATTTTGATATTATTTTTCAGAGTAACGTCCGGCGCTTTAATCTTATTTATAATGCATGTAACATTTTAATATTATTTTCGTGGCGCATCCAATATATTTTGATGTTATTTTTCACTTACGTCTAGTATCGTAATCTTATTTATAATTTGAAGTCCTAAATGTTCTATAAATAAGACCAGGACGATAAAAGTACCATAACAATAACATCAAAATAATAGATAAAAGTATCACATTCCAATCCTAATTTTTTCCCTTTCAAATATACTAGATATGCCACTTTTTTTGGCACAAAAGAAATTAATTTTATTAATACAAAAAATTATTATATCCACTAATAGGAAAAAGTAAAAAAAAAAAAAGAATAAGAGTCCAACCTATAAAAAAACTTAAACCAACAAATAAGTACATATTTAGAAAAATATATATTTTTATTTATTTATTGCTGTTAACTAATTATAATAGTTTTTTTTTTCAAACCACACAATTCATTTATTTGAATCTCACAATAAACGACTATGGCGGTTAAGGGAGTGTTTGGATAGAAACCAAACCATGGTTTCAGAAGTGCTTTTACGGATTACGAAGTAAATATATGGAGGAGGTTACCTCGTTTTGCGGAAAAGTGATTCTGAAACCTAGGTTTTGGTTTTTCCAAACATCCCCTAAGATGTAGTTTTTTTTGAGTAAGCAATAAGAAAATGGATGAATAGATTATCTGAATACTGTATATCAATTACAAAATAAAAATATTTGACGTTTTCAAACATTACCGTGCATGATTGAACAATTGAAAGTCACTGCATGCATATTAAAAAATAAGAAATATCATTGACAATTATTGCTTGGATATTAATTAAGAAAGAAATATCATTGACATGTGTACTTATGACCCCCTATATTTTATAACATTCTGAAGAGATTTTTGTATGAATTTGGGAGTCATCATCATGATTTGGAGCTGTTTTGGCGAATTTTCTTTTCTTAGAAGAATTCAACTCATATATTTTATGTAAATTATGATCTAATGTTGTGAAAATTTAAAATCCAAAGCATTTTTATCTAATGCATACGGCATATCCAAAAACAAAAATAATTAAATATAATAGCCAAGATCCCAATTTTGTTTTTCCAATTTTGCTAATCTTTAATACTCCCTCCGTTCCTTATTATAAGAGACATTTGATGCTTATGGCATATTTCTATATATAAGAGATACTTACAAGTTGTCTCTACTTTTTTGTGTTGATTTACTATTTTACCCATATTTATTATTTCCAACTCACACTCTCTCTCCCTCCCACTTCTCTTTCTTTTAATAATTTAATTGTTCTCTCTCATGTTCTCTCTCCTTATTAATGAGGGCATTTTTGGAAAAAATTATACTTTTTACCCATTAATTGTTCTTAACTAATTTTAACTGTTTTTTTGATCAACGTACTTCGGTTATTTGTCTCTTATAATAAGGAACGGAGGGAGTACCAATTGTTAATTAAGGTATATGTTTTTTTAAAAAAATATCTTATAGGTGAAACAATGAAACTATGGTAATACAAAATTTATAGGAAAATGTCATGCTATTAATTAAAAAATTATAAACAATGTGACGCAATTTAGCCTCAATACAAAGTAAAGTCCCATAAAGGTTATTAAAATGATCTTTTAGCTAGATAAAATATAAATTGAATAATTGTGTAGTGGTATTAAATGAATTGTATTTTAAATAAATCAATTATGATCAACATTTAATATTTACACTTTATTGGAAACAATATTTTAACTAGGTTATTGCGGCTGGTCAAAAAAAAAACTAGGTTATTGCGATTCATTCTCCAAGGCTTATTGGGATGAATAAAATAGGTGTCTAGTCAAGATAATAAATATCAATGTATATGTAAATACTACTACAATATAACAACCCAAGTGTTGGCAAAAAAGGAAAAAACCTAAGTTATCGACGAGTCATTAATTATATGGCTACTTTTTTTTTTTTTTAACCAAAATTGTATGGCTACTTTGAGAAAGGGTTACAATGCACATGAAATATATATAGTTTGAGAAGAATTCATGTTATCTCTTTTTCTCACAAAATTTTTATGTACTAAAATATAAAATTTGAATATTCTTAATATAACTTATAAAATTTAGTATGGTTTATTATCATTTTAAAAATATCTTTTATATAAAAGTAATTATATAATTCATAAATTAATTAGCACCGTTTATGGTATATAAATAGTATATTTGAAAAAACTTTTAAACAATATATAAATATGTGTATTTATGGAATACTTAAAGTTAATCCAACCATTGCGATATTTAAGAAAGAAAAATAGGGAATGATTTTCAACGAAAATTGTTGAACTTTTGCGAAATTCATTGTACAAACTACAAAGGTACTTAAATTTGTTCAAGGACTAAAATATAGCTAATGCCTTGTATTCCGTAGATGCCACTCTTTTAACTGTATGCAATTTATGTTTAGTTATGTGTAAAATAAAAACATTTACATATAATTAAAAATATATTACATAAATTCGAAAGAGAATGTTACTTTTTTTTTTTTGGAGCAAAGAAAAAGAATGTTACTTGCTAAATATGATTTGCGTTCGTTCAGCAACTTGGATACTCACTTAAGTATTTTTGGACAATAAAATTGTTTTAACAAATTTTCTTTATTTTTTTAATAAAATTAGATAATTATTTTTTTGAAAAATCTTAAAAAATAGCTTTTGAATTTCAAAATTTCAAATCAGTCTTGTTTATTACACTTCAATAACAATTAATTATATTTATCAACAAATTGAGATGGTAAGTAGTTTTACTTTTTTAAGAAGGAGAATACAAGTTTAAATTCTGAAAGTTCAATTTTAAAATTCAAGGATTTTTTTTTGAATTTTTTTATTTTTTTTAATGAGATTAGATATTTTTTAGAAAATGTCAAAAAATAGCTTTTGAATTTTAAAATTTCAAATCAGTTTTGTTTATTATACTTTAATAACAATTAATTATATTTATCAACAAGCCTTTGGTTGGGATGATAAGTGGTTTGACCACTTTAAGGAGAAGAATACAACTTTAAATCCTTAAAAGCGCACTTGTTGGGAAGGTTTCTACCTTAACGTCTCAGCTTGATAGAAATTAGTTTTAAACTCAAAATGACTTGAAAATCCTCTAAGTTATATTAAAAAAATATTTAACTATACTTAAAAAGCAAATTACCATATATTTTTGTAGTAATTTTTGGTTTAAGATTTTAAAATTCAAAAGATATTTTTTAAAAATTTTTTTAATTTTTTTATTTAGATGAATAAGACAATGGTTTCAGTCAGTCAAGGCATGTCAAAATTGGGCTCCTGAGAAAAATGTAAAAGCGAGCAGGAAACGTCAGGGAAGGTCATCTGTTCTCACTTCTCAATTTGGAAATAATAAAACAGCAAAAAATAAAAAGAAAAAGAAAAAAAAATACAGAGAAAAGAGCTATAAAAACCGACTCGCGCTATTTTTGCTCCCCTCCAACTAATCGCGTTTGCTCTCTTCCTCCACTCGTATTCAATCTCTCTCTTTCTTGTTTCCGCACATAGATACATGGACTCACCCTCTCGCTCCTCCGTCATCATCGTCGGAGCTGGTATCTCCGGTGAGAGCTTCGCTGCCGATCAATCCTTCCACCTCTGACCACGCGGTTATTGTGAATTCATTTTGTTCTGATTTTAGTTTCTCTGTACGAAAGGTATCTCTGCGGCAAAAGTTTTAGCCGAGAACGGAATAGAAGACCTGGTGATTCTGGAGGCCTCCGACCGTATCGGCGGTAGGATCCGGAAGGAAAATTTCGGAGGCGTGTCGGTGGAGCTCGGAGCTGGGTGGATCGCCGGAGTTGGTGGCAAAGAGTCTAATCCTGTTTGGGAACTCGCTGCCAAATCTGGCCTCCGAACCTGCTTCTCTGATTACAGCAATGCGCGCTACAATATTTATGATCGCAGGTCTGCAAAACGGCCTAACCTTGCTATTTCCGCCATTCCTATTTGCTCATTACTTTGCCGGAACAATTTAGTGCCGTTTTTCGTCTTTTATGCGCCGTGGTGGCGAGTCGCTTATTCCGATAATTTCCGATACAGTGGCGCATTTGAGTGTTATAGTCGTTTTCGTTCTTTTTTGCCTTTTACTGCTCTGGATTGTGGTTTTGGTGTACAATTTCAAATCACTCTGTCAGTGAATCTAACTGAATTTGCGCACCGACTTGCAGCGGGAAAATCTTTCCGAGTGGAATCGCTGCCGACTCCTACAAAAAGGCGGTGGACTCGGCGATTCAGAAGCTGAAGAACCAGGATGCCGATCACGGTGGTGATGTCAGCAAAATAACAGAGTCTCCTTCGTAAGTTAACGTGGTTGGTTGTTAATGTATGATTGGTTAGCTAAATATTCCTAGTCTGAATCTCGCTTTCTAATGTATCATTTCAGGTCGCCAAAGACCCCAATAGAGCTGGCCATTGATTTTATCCTACATGATTTCGAAATGGCAGGTCAGTTCGCAACTTACTTCAACATTGAGTTTTTGTTTTTACTGTTGGTTTCTCTTCCATATGACAGAAATAAGAAAGCAAAAGAAATTGAGATGTGTGGGGCTGTGACTTTGTCAAATTATTCAATCCTCAAATCTTTTCCAGCTCAGCAGATGCTTTTTAATTTTTAACGAATTTGTTTTATACATTTATATTTTTGCACTATAAAATAAGTCCTCGGTAACCCTTCTGTTTCGTTTGCCGTTTCTTTTTTCCCTTCTTTTTACTAAAATAAGGTGAATAATAGACTGGGAATTTGGGTGCAGAAGTGGAACCAATATCTACATACGTAGATTTCGGGGAGAGAGAATTTTTAGTTGCGGATGAACGAGGGTATGAGCATCTGCTCTACAGAATGGCTGAAGATTTTCTCTTCACTTCAGACGGTGTAATCTTGGACGATCGCCTCAAGCTTAACAAGGTACTTGACTAAGTCCTTTCGCTAATTTAATTATGGTGAAAATTTGGATAAATATATATACAATTATTTTAAAATAATTTATTCTCTTCTCGTATTTTTAAAATTTTTGTCTGCATTTTTTAATTTTTTGTTTTATAATAAATACCATAACATTATATTATAAAAAAGGTCAATTGTTTTATAAAACATTAAATTTTTGGAATGTATAAAATTGAAATTTTTTAAAATCCAGTATAATTGAGCTAAATTTAGGAAATGGTGAAATTCAGTTAATTTACTCTTTTTTAATTTTTGATCAAGATAAAATTTGGAATGCAATGCTAACCTCCTAGTCTTATCCGTCCGTTAGTACGTTATTTCTCCATTTTCTCCAGCATGTTGGGGAGGAAAGAAATTGCGGGCCCCGCCCTCCATATTTCTCCTCTAAATACTGCTATTCTCTTTTTCCCCTGATGAACCTACTTATATTTGATTTCTCTCGTCAGATTCTTCAATCCAAAGTTTCAAACAACACTATATTAAGAAATTTTATTATACTAAAGTACCTTCAATTTTATTTGTTTGTGAATCTGGTTTATGAATAATATGAGATATTCACAGAGAAAAGTTCTTTGTCTGTTTGCCATACGTCATTTGTTGAGAGCGGAATAAATAAGCGGTTGAAAAGAAAAATTTAAAATTTTGTCTTTGTTAGAATGCCCCCGGCTTTCATTATTTTTTTCTCGGGTTACTGAAGCTTGATTGGCCCACTTTTGGGGTTTGCGGATAATGACTTTTCAAAAGATGTTATTATGTTTGAGAGATATCTGTCACTCTCACACTTTTTTTTAAACCTTTTGAGTGTTTTTTTTTTGTCCGGAGATAAGTTACGGTATATTTCCGTAACAAATAATTTTACTTTAGATTTCTACCATGCAGAATTATTCTATTCGATTAATAATTAACTAATGTGTGAGCGAAGCAAAGATAAGCTTTTTGGACAAGGACATAAAATTTTTTTATAAATTATAAAAAAAGTATGCTGATTTAAAATGATTCTAGGAATGCAGTGAATCAGAGGGAGAGGTAAATCGATTCACTAACAAATAAATATGTCACTAAAATATACTAATATATTTACTGATTTTAATTTATTTAAAATGAATATGTATCGTAAATTTTCTATATTTTGTACTGTAGCTACTACTTAATTTCCCTTATTTATATATATATTTAATTTTACTTTTAATTGTGTATTTTTATTTTGGTTACTCGCCATGTAGAAAGAAACATAATATTTTGGAAAAATAGGAAATCCAAGAAGTGGAAGTTCACCGGATGTTATTTTGAGTTAAATCCCGGTACTGTTTGATCGGGGTATAGCCGCAGCCGCAGGCCACTGTTCGCTGGGGATTAGTGACCACGGCTTTTTTCAGAGATCTTTTTTCCTTGGAATGCATTTTCTTCGTCGTTTGAGTAATTGCTGGTTGCTTGAGGCAGCGCCAAGCGCAGGTGGATTTCAGATGGTCGTTGACCTTTACGACATAGTACTAGATTTTTTTTGAATGGTTACAGGCTGATAGAAACGACGAAACCTTTTGAAGAACATACTTCCGTAGAAAAATTGGGGGGAAATGCTCAGGGTCAATGTGACCCACAAATTATTTTTGATCTCTATTTAGACTTTTCCAAGTCTTAAAGTCATGGACCCCAAAGTCCTGATTTGGGTAACCGTGCGCACTATTTGAATTGACACAGCAACAATAAGACGGGGGGTTTTGTTTATAAAAAAAAAAAAAAAGGGAAGAAGAAGCACGGAGGTTTTAGTGTTTTAAATACACACACGCGGATCCAGTTGCCCGCATAATAGTTTGAGTTGAAGTATCCTCAATATATGTACTACTTGCATATTGTTTTTGACCTCGTACGAATCTCGCTGGATTAGGCCTCCGTCAATTGCTGAAAGGCGAGAAGCGAACGTACCATGTTCTCCTGTGATTTTCGTGATTTTGGGAACATTACCTTATTTAATATTGCGCGCGGTAAATTTTGGCCATATGGCTTTGTTCTTGAAATCAATACTCCATTTTGACTTCTGAGAAAAAGAATCTCTTTTCTGAATTTACATATTGATTCCAAATTCTACAGTGCACAGATTCTTTTGGCTTTGACTATTGAGAATCACGTGGACTTTTATCCCTTTGTAATTTGGTTTACTTTATTAACTGTGTGATTTTTTTTTTTAGGGGATAGTTATTGGTCGTCCGGGAATTGCAGACTTTGGATTTTTGTATTATTTCACACCTTGATAAATGCTTATAATTTTGGTAGAAATTTGGAATTAATATTAGTACTTTTAAAATTAGATGATATTGATTTATCACGACAAAATTAGATGATATTTGCACAAATAACAAAAGCAGAAGAACCTTCATTTCTGACACAGCGACACATTAATTCGATAATATCAGGCTGAATATCTGACTGAATCTTTTTGCATGGTTTCGTGCAGGTCGTCCGGGAATTGCAGCACTCGAGAAGTGGCGTTACCGTAATAACGGAGGATGGTTGCATTTTCGAGGCTGACTACGTGGTTCTATCTGTTAGTATTGGCGTTCTCCAAAGCGAGCTCATTGCCTTCAACCCGCCCTTACCTGTAAGTCTCCGCTTTATAATAACCTCCTTTCCTCCTGTCTCCCATCCCCAGGTACCCCTGTATTATTAATTAACAATTCGACAAATTCTACAAATACTATTAGAGATGTGTGGAGCTGACTTATTGGTCCTGAATATGTGGCTCTGGTAGTCATCACCCTGATCTTTTTAGGGTACTGGGGGGCATCAAAATGAAAATCTAGTCCATCAATCAAAATTTTGTTTTTGGCTGAAGACTATTCTAAACAAATTGAATCCTGCAAGCTGAATCTAGTAATTCAGTAATTAAAATCAAAAGATAAGTTTAGTAGCAAAACATTAAAATATAGCACTTGTACTATCAGACTTGTAAAATCTATTCCGAATAAAAGCAAGAGATTCCGGTTCAATTTTCATCTGATCGGAACATCTACTGGGAGCCAACACTATGGAGGAATCCGTTGGGTTTGCTTTTGTTTTTGTGTCCCTAAAATGGGAGTTTCCGTCATTTTCATACTGATATTTAGGGTGTGGTCCACAGTCTTTAATAGTATTAGTCATCTAGTTGGGAAAGTCAAAACATAGGGATAGCTAGGCCTCGTATTAAATGAAGCTCTCTGATTGATGACGCAAGAAAATATGATTTCGAGGAGTCCTCCTTTTCAAAAACCAGGGACAGCTTGATCCCCGGTATAGTTGATCCACAGTCTTTCGTTAATGAAGGTCTCATGTTAACCCTCTTACTGTGGGCAAATATTGGATGACCAAATGGTCGGAGGATGGCGCCAACCTGCATTTATGGTCGTGATATCATCATTATATATGCAAATTATATTTTAAGCTTGCAACATTTTAACTTTATCAGCTGTAGATGCAAATTGCAAATACTTATAATAAAACTTCATTCGATAATAATAACAATATAGTAATTTTTCTTGTAACTTTAATAAATGATTGTAACTTCTATGCTGTAATAGTATTAGTCTACTAGTACAATGTTTTGTGCAGTTTCAAAATAATATCACATAGATTATTTTTTTCAAGCAGTTGAGAAGAATCTCTTCTCCACTACTAACGCCAAATGCACATGATAATATAGAGTTATGCTCTGACTGAGCGTGGTTGGCAAAAAAGAAAAAAGAAACAGGAAGAAAACTGCGTGTGTATGTGTCTAGATATATTTATATGAAATCTTTGACGTGCCTAGTATGTTTGGTTTGCTGTACATGATACTTCTCTGTATTTTTAACACGACTATGTTTAATATAAACAATGAAACAGAGGTGGAAATTGGAATCCATAGAGAAATGTGATGTCATGGTCTACACTAAAATCTTTCTGAAGTTTCCGGACAAGTTCTGGCCAAGTGGACCCGAAAAGGAATTCTTCATTTATGCTCACGAGCGGAGAGGCTATTACACATTTTGGCAGGTTTGGTAGAAATTCTGCTTTATCGTTGCCAGCTGTGTCATTTCCTTCCATCCTGTATTTCACACTATTTTGTTTGCCTGCTATGGGTATTTTGTTTCTCCAAGTAATGAAGGGAAGATTTTCAGAAATTGGTTTCTCACATAATGGGAAATCGAAATTGTTGCATAAATTCTAGTTTGCCCATTCATGGTTAAAAATAGAATTTCATAAGCAGTTCACTGTTTCATCTACCTCTAATTGGGTTTTCTATTCCCCTCGTCCAAGAATTCAAGATAATAAGGCCAAAGGCTTATCGATTCAAATATCCCTTTTGTTTTCATATGGAGATTTAATATTAGTTACCCCTCAATCTTTGCTTAAAGATGAGTCAGCCACGCCAAGACTTCTGATTTTTAATTTAAAGCTGTAAATTTGACTTTTGTAGAAGAGCACATAGTTTTAAACATTCTTAGCTGCAACTACTTCGATTTGTCTCATGTAATTAAATCATATCATCGCGGGGATAACGGCATATATTGAAAATTTTTACCTTTTTTTTTTATTGTTTATTCCCCTATGATGTATGTAAAGTTGGTATTTTATTGGAGTTGTCTGTATTGGTTTCGTAACGGGAACTTCTTACTCACTTTTTCCATCTACTGTTTGTTTAAAATACTAAGTAATATGCCCATATTTCAAAGCTAGGAAATGCTTATTTAATAGGAGAAGAATCGATTTATTTGATGATGAAAAATTAACACTACTTGGCTATCGTATTATTTCAGTACAGTCCGGAATATTTGCTTTCATTTTTTTTTTTCTTTTTATCAATATGCGTTGACTTTGAATGTTAGCAGCTGAGTATCAATCATCTATCATTACTGTAAATAATTGGATTTGCAATCATAATTTTTTTTGGATGGGCCTTGAGATTTAATTATTTATTCACTGTACTTGCTCATCAAAATCTCCTAATTATCTGATGGTTTGCTGCTTTGTCATCAGCACATGGAGAATGCTTACCCTGGTTCCCACATATTGGTTGTGACATTGACAAATGAGGAATCGAAACGTGTAGAAGCTCAATCTGATCAAGAGACCCTAAAAGAAGCTATGGCGGTTCTTAGGGACATGTTTGGACCCAACATACCAAGTGCCATTGATATATTTGTTCCCCGCTGGTGGAATAATAGGTTCCAGCGTGGCAGCTACAGCAACTATCCCATTATCTCTAACCCGCAAATTGTGCATAATATTCAGGTTTGATTTTCGCGTTCAATATGTTTGGATGTGTTCTTTGCTGAAATTATCAAGGCATGTTGTCACTTTTATGTTCTGTTCTGAAGTTGCATGTGAAGACAAACAGTATGACTTGGAACTTAACAGCTGGCTATTTTAAGTAATGATCACTCTCGTCACTCTGGTTTTTGTATCAAGCAACTCATCTAATCTTCCTTGTAACACAGGGGAGCAAATGCCGAAAATGACAAGTCATGAATTTGTCCACACTATCATTAATATACATTTTTTCCCTTTGCTTTCACTTTAAATAGCCAATAAACAGAAAAGAAAAATGAGGTAGTGGACTGTAGCTTTCATAGAAACGAGACAAAATTTAGGTAAAAATCCCCATGTTTGCTACAAGGTCTTGCACAATGAGAAAGAGTTGTGAAAGATCATCTTTAATAGAATCATTCATAAAACTTTAAGTTAAAAGAAATATCTGCGTTATGATCGAATACCGTAACTCGCTTATATTTGAGATTCAAATTCAATTTGTTATTAGGACATCATTTATGGTTTTCTAGTCTCTATGTAGTTTGGTGTTCTACTGGCCTCATTACATATCGTTTTGTGCATCTAAACACAAAAAACAAGACATTCTTTTTTCCAATTATTTATTCATCTGTTCGGGATGCTTCAGGCCCCAGTAGGTCGCATTTTCTTTACTGGAGAGCACACAAGTGAAAGATTTAATGGCTACGTCCATGGTGGATACCTCTCAGGTAAGGCATTAATTTCATATAAGTTTGCTCTGCCAAATTAAGCAGTAATGATTGAACGACCTTAAAGATCTGAATTGTGAATGCGATCATTTTTGGCCTTTGGCCCCTGAATCCTTATCAGGTATCGACACCAGCAAAGAGTTGCTAGAAGAAATGAGGAAAGAGAAGGAAAGAAAAAATGAGAACCAAACTTTATTATTTGAACCTTTGCTAGCATTGACTGGTTCATTGACCCTGTCACAACCAGACACGGTCTCCAACATCCACAAATGGGATATTCCTACACAATTATACCTCAGTGGCAAGCTTGGAATCGCAGAGGCCATATTGTGAATATATGGTGCACACAATAATCAGAAAACCCGCGAAGAAGATGACGACGATAAAAAATGCATTATGACTTACCAGAATCATCTAGGCCCGGCAGGTCTTGATCCCAAGTCATTTCTTCAACCAAGCCTTTACTTTGGTGCCATTGGTATTGCAGATTAGCATAATTCAAAGGAGGAAAGTCTTGGGCAGATCCTTTCTAGTAAAAGATATATACACTGAGTCAGTCATAGGGATCCACATAATCTATTTGATATGTTTATGTGTATCTTTATTATTGACTGAGTTGGCAACTTGGCATATTATTCTTAGACTGAATTTACTTGAATTTCTTTCCACAAGAAATTATAATGGTGAAGCAGTGAGGCGATGAACAAGCAGGGGGAAAATCTTGCTCGGATCTCTAGTGGTCACCGGTTTCTGCTAATGAAACTGACTTGGTTATATTTATTTTTTTCCAGAGGGGCAATTCATTGTTTTATGTGTAGTTATCAAAGCTTTGTTCTTTGTAGTCAGAAGATTATGCTTCTTAGATTGTAGTTTCTTGGCTATTGATTTCCTGTTAAAGAACCCTCTGGCTGATTGGTTTTTGGAAATCATGTGCCAAGTTCTAATCTTAGGGGCCCTTTTTTTGGGGCGGGGGGTGGGGGGTATAGGTTTAGGGGCTGATTTGGTTTTGTGTAATGTGATGCCAATCATATCGTATTTGCTTCTAATTATGCTGGTGTCATTCTTCCATCTCTCTTCATTTCTATTTCAAATCTTCTTTCTGATGACTTTGCTTCAAAAACTCAAGGGAACCACAAAAACCAAGGCAAATAAGGCAAAATTGATTTCTAGAGGGACTAGGATTTAGTGTATGGATCACACAAACTACTTAGAAAAGTGCATTTGTGAAACTGAGAGCAGTCAAGCAGGTTGCTGAAAGGATTATGCAGTGAGAAGGGGAAATATGCTAAAGCAGTTGCTGCTGAATATACAATAGCGCTTCTCATCAACGATGTGAAGTGAAACCAGAAAAGTAATGGAATCAGGAAATAAACAGAGCACAAAAAAAATATAGAACTACAGTGCTGCTCTAACACGCCCCCTCAAACCCTGATATCACTCCAAGCCTGTCATCTAGTATGAGACAAGGCTTCTCCTAACCCTAAACAATCTCCTACTTGCTGTTATGATACAACATAAAGGCCCAAATGACTTTGTCCCTTGGTTCTGGCATGGAAAACTGGATTCAGAACCTAAAGCTTTTGTACTCTTAAGTGCCCCAATATCTGATCTGTCTCTGTATAAAACTATAAATAGTGTATTGGACCCAAATCTTTGAAGGGAAACAGCAAAAAAATGGCTACCTTTGTCAAGATGTCTCTACATATACTAATGATAAAAACAGTAATTCGTAGCTTATCATAAGAAACCCATAGAAAGCCTGTGGGAGTTTGCCCATATGATTTGAGTTTTTCTTTGTCAATAAAGTTTTAAGGTTGTCGCATATAATAATCGTCTTCTTACCATTCAACAATGTACTATTAACAACTTTAAAGTTTTGTTTGGTAAGGAGTATTGAGATTATAATTGAAATTAAGAAAGTTTACTAAAAAAGTATTTGATGAGAGATAACTTATTGCTTAAAGTTGGATTGTGAGACTGGAGAATACAATAGAGGGAAGTGGACAGGTAGTATTGAAAATTTAATCCTATGATTAACATTTTCATACCAAAATATCCATTCCTACTCCTATTCCCACTTTCACACCCAATCCTACTTCCATTCCCAATCCATCAAAATTGAGACCCAAATACCAAACATGACCTAATTGTCTTACTTCCCAACTAAATGATGCAGGCTGCAGCAATAGTCAAGACAATTCTAACATTAGAAATTCTTACCATGGTCTGTTCCAAGTTCTAGTTGAATTCTCTTTCTTACAGGTCTCTGCTTCGTGTCCTTTTTAAATGATCCACCTCCAGTAACTCATTTCTTTCCTTTAATGCTGCTCTATCCTTCAAAAGGAAGCTTCAAGTTCAGCCTCCATGGCTCTTCATTTCAGAGCTGCATGAACTGATGAACTGAATCAGGCTCTGTTTCAGAAAAAACATCAAAATTGGTGAGATCCTATAGGGTAACATGGTTTATGAATCTAGCGACCATTAGAGTCTAAATCCGAAAGAGCTAAAGTTGAAATAGACAAAATATACAGGGATCGTTTTGGAAAACAGATAGACTATAAGGACCAAGGTGTTTGGGATGCCTTAAAAGTACTAAAAAAAAAATGCTTCAATACAAGTCGGGACAAAATCTCTATCACATACTTATCTCATATACTGTAAAATTATTTCTGAAAAGTTAATTTAAACACCCCAAACTGAATAAGAAAGAAACAAAGCACGAGGAAGGGCCAAATGATGGATGGAATTCTCCTATAATAATTATAAAAATTTGATTGTATTATACGAAAATAAAATAAATATTTTATAAAACCACATGAATAGGTGCACGAGTCAATATGGTGAAACTTATTTGTTGTTATAATGCAAATTTGGTGGACAATTTTCAGGTCATGCAATAATTGGCATCAAAGTTTTATTTAGGGAAAATTAATCCTTTTTTATTGTAACAATTTAACCCTTCCCTGAAACCAGAGAGGCATTGATGTTGTCTTGTTATTAGGAGATTGTGAGTTTAATTTCATATCGATGTTTTTTTAGAATGAACAGATTATGGATTCAATTTTGTATGTTGTTAGTGGCCACCCTTTAATTGAAAAAAATTAATTTTTTAATCAGGAATTTTTAACCAATTTTTCTTTTTATTAATATTTCTCCAATATTAAATATAAGACTCATTTTATAGTACAATTTCCATTACAGAATGAGTCTCATGTTTAAGACTGGAGGACTACAAACCAGGATCATGGGTAAGATAAAGGAACCTTGCTCAATACCTTTTTTTTTTTTGGGGACAATTTCAGAACACAATCGAATGCCCCCCAAATAAAAGAAGTTATATAGAATAAAGTATGGGATATATATATATATGTATACAAACTTTGTTGAAATATTCAAATAAATATTAAAAATAAAAATAAGATTGCTTAAAATTTTATACAATATGTTTGACCGAAAAATGTAATAAAATATATGAAATAAGTTAAAAAGTTTGAAAACAAAAAATTATAAAAAGATTCGAGAAGTTTAGAATATTTTTTATCGAAAAAAGAGAAGTTTGGAATATTTACATGGAAAAATAGCAAAAAAAGGCCGTAAAATTTAAAAAATTACAGATAAAGACTTGTTCATAAAGATTGCTGTAACTCATAATAGTGTTGTAATGGGTTTTTATTTGTAATTTTTTAAATTTTATGGTCTTTTTTTTAATGATTTTTCCTATTTATATTTTATATTGGGAGAACATATTAATGATTTGGAAGTACATTCAGCTAATCAGCTGGAGATCCGACAACACCCAAAAGGTATGAGAAGATCCGACCCCTCCCTTGCCAACCGACACAGGGTCCGAATTCGTTCCAATTTGGCGCCAATTCTCCATTCGTCTGAGCGTATCCCTTGCTTTCTCCAGTTCAGAGTAAACCCTAGTCATGGCTTCGGTTCACTGGTTCATGAATGCATGAAGGTTTCTGAGAAAACCAAAAATTGAAGCTTTCTATATTGAAGCTTCATAATCGAAAAGAGTGTAGAAGCGACCAGTTCCCTTTTTGCAATGGCTGAACCTCGTCGTAAGCGCCCCAAAATTGCCAGGTTTGTCAACATTAAACCTGACGGCTCTTCTTCATTCGCTGGCTCACAATTCGCCTTTTAACCTGCTTACTCGTCGACCCTTTTCGGCGTTAGGGCTGTGCCACTGATATTGTTCTTCAGTTTTCTGGCTGGTTGGCGAAGATGTGCTGGAAAAAGAGAACTAAAACCATTAAAGTTATAAACTTGATTTTTTTGGGGGTGGGTGGGTGCGGTGGTGGTTGTCGGGCAACCCCGGTTCTTCCTCTTTAAACTTCTGTCCTAGGTTTCTTCAATAAATGGTTTACCCATCCCTTGATCTGAATTCATCAGCGTCACCATCATTTAGTATTTGTTTTTTGAACAGGGCCATGCTCTATCTTTCATGGCGTCCCTGCACACTTTTACTTATGAAATCTGATCAATTAAACTGACATTTTTTTGTTTGATAATCACAATCATTGAATACCATGTTTCTAAATGGATATCGTTAAAGGTCTGTAATATGATTTCTAAGTGGACAATTTTATTCTTTCTTTCAGGGGAGAAGATGATTTTATGCCTGGAAGCATTATCGAGATCGAGCTTTTTAAGTTTATGACCTTTGACTACCTAAAATGTAAACCTGGTCCTCGTCTGAATCTTGTTATTGGACCCAATGGTTCTGGGAAGAGTTCTCTTGTTTGTGCCATTGCACTTGGTCTGGGGGGTGAGCCTCAGGTTGGTTCATACAGGCTAGCACGTAAATTCGAATCTCAATATTTTTTTTTCTCCAAAGAACATTAGGATTGAGACTTTGTTTTTTGCAGCTGCTAGGACGAGCAACAAGTATTGGATCATATGTGAAGCGGGGAGAAGAATCAGGTTGTATTAAGATTACATTGAGAGGGGATAGTAAAGATAAGCATATCACTGTTATTCGGAAAATAACTACTAACAACAAGTCTGAATGGTTGTTCAATGGTAGGTTTTATTTTTCTATTTTATTTTGTACGTTACTAATTTCATTGAATGCTATGATTCTGTTGACATGAGTAGTTGATCCTCTTGATTGAGGTTAACTTGGATGAAAGGTCAAAATTGGTTGGTTATGGATTTTGAGTTTGAAACTTTTCCTAGGTACAGACTTGAGAAAGCGACCGCTTTGAATATTACTTTTGAAAACCAAGAAAAGGTTTATGCAATTAGTAACTACTAACTAACAATGTATTTAAGTGGTGTCAATATGTACTTTTTATTTATTTTTATACTTTTTTTTTCTTTAGTAAATCCTGCTTAAGAAAAATGGAGATATTCCCCCTTATATTATTTTTCTATGCTGAGTGTTGGTTTGTCATAAAAGTAAAACAGAGGAAAAAAATGCATGTGCTGGTAAAAGAGTGTTGATAAATACTTGCAAGAAACTTAACTAACGTAGTGAAATATTTATTTGCTATTTTGATGTATTACTTTCAGGAAAAGTAGTGCCCAAAAAGGATGTGATGGAAGTCATTCAACGGTTTAACATCCAAGTTAATAATTTGACCCAAGTACGTATAAAGACCAGCAATCAAGGCGTTTTATTGATGCATTTTTAATTTTAAATTACAAATTTCTACAATTCTGTTCTAAACATGTTGCATTGCTCATTTTAGTGTGTGTTTTCGGATTAGCTTATTTTAAGTAATTTTGCGTTATACAAAGTAATTATGTGGGGGTTGTCTTGTAAAGCCCAAAAGATCTTCTCTAAAGTGATTGTGGTGTTTCTCTAGTGGGATGATCTTGCTGTTCAAGTTGGGATTTTGCCTAGTAGTGTTGCATTTGATAATTGGCTTGTTTAGGTTTCTTGCTATTTTGTAGATGTAAGTGTAGAAGTGAAGAAGCATTCTGCCATCTCTCGAGTCTTTTGCCCATATGCCAAGGGTGGCACTTGCTGCTATCTCCTGAGTCTTTTGTGCGTATGTCACTCTTAAGGTGCTAATTTATGATTTCTAAGTGTTAGTATTTCTTTTGGGAACCATTTCCCATGTTGCTTGAGTCATACCAACTCTCTACCTCTCTAGATGAGAGTTCCTTCAAGCCCTGGGGGTGATGGATATCTCAAGGTCTCTAACAGAAGAAAATCTTTTAGGATTTATTTCTTGAATCATTTAGGATTTAGTTATGATTGTTTTTGTTTCATTATTATCTTTATTTCGTGCAAGTTAGCTTGTCTTAGGAATATGTATATATATGTTTTGATGTAATTCAGAGTATCTTCAAGTCACTTTACACTTGAGACTAATTTTTGTCTGGCTGTGAGCATTAAGGTTAAAACTCTCCCAACAAGTGTGCTCTCTGGGATTTGAACTTGTATTCTCCTTCTTACAAGAGTGAGACCTCTTATCATCTCAACTAGGAGCTTGTTGGTTGTCGTAGGAATATCTTAAATATAGATAAGATATCTGGGTTTTTCTACAAGATTGTGTAGATTCTCTTTTAGGAGTAGGCCTTTTTTATAGATAAGTTTATATTTAGATTACGATGGAGACTTGGTAGCATGGGAGGCTCAATGGGGTATTTAAGTGGGTTGGTTCTCTCACCTCAATAGCTAGCTTTTAGGGTAGGGTTCCCCATCCCACTTTGGTACCCATCTAATTTTATCTTTTTATTAAGGCTTTATAAATAGCCCTTGGGTTTCTCATTGCATCACTTTTTAACCCATTGAATGAATAATTTAGTGTTACCTTATATCTTTCTGTCCCTATTTCTATCTTTTCTTCCCCCCTTCCGATTGCTGTTTAACAGCACTACTATTTCTCAACCCATATGCAACCATGATCTGACATGTAAAATTTCCTAAATTAACCTTAGGATTGAAATTAGAAATTTTATATTTGTAAAAAACTAGAGTTAGGAGTCCTGAATTGATCCAGTGAGGTTATAGACTGAAATAATCAGCCCCATAGTCAAACCTAGACTAAAATGATGAAGTGATTTGATCTTTAATATTGTGTTTTCTTGAACTAGTGTATCTGAAATGCATCAAATCTCACAATTGTATGTTTTTTTTTTGTTTTGAGGATTTTAATTTTTTTGGTACTGTTAGTTTGTTGCTTCAAATATTCTGCTAGTTGATTTTAATATTAGCTTCTTTGTTTAACTTGGTATCATTGTATTTTATAGTTTTTACCCCAGGACAGGGTCTGTGAATTTGCTAAATTAACTCCTGTGCAACTTCTGGAGGAGACTGAAAAGGCTACTGGTGATCCCCAACTTCCAATCATTCACCGTTCTCTTGTTGATAAAAGCCGTGCATTGAAGCAAATTGAGCTGGTAACTATACTTTTACATATGGAATGGAGACATATACCTGAAACTAAATGTTGCATGGAAACTTAAGAGCAATTGCCTCTATTTCATTTCAGACAGTGACGAAAAATGAAGAAACTTTGAAACAGCTAAAGGACCTTAATGCTGAACTTGAGAAGGATGTTGAACGTGTCCGTCAAAGGGATGAACTACTTAAAAGGTTTTATCTTGGTTTTTTTTTTTTTGTCTTTTTCCCTTGCGTTCTATTGTTTTTGTAATTGGTTAGAATATCTGATGCCTTTATTTTCTTTATGTAGGTTGAGTCCATGAAAAAGAAAGTGCCATGGCTTAGATATGATATGAAGAAGGCTGAATACTTGGAAGCTAAAGAACGTGAAAATGATGCTAAAAAGAAGATGGAGGAAGCTGCAAAGATTTTAAATGATCTGAAAGAACCTATCGAGTATGTTGACCTTGCTTAGCAGTCATAATCATAATTCTGCTTAAATATCTAAATTTAATATCCTCTAGTAAGCTTGGTTGCTGAATGAGAGTGTTCAATATCTCAGTATAGGAATGATGGGGTATTGGTGTTTAATTCAACAAAATGTCAGTTCCTAGTTGCATGGTTGCAAAAGTCTGAATGCATCTAGCTGTTTAAAAATGAAGGTCTTGGATTCACTATACCATGAACGCTAGCCCACTTGGAACTCTTGGATCCTACTATAAATCTGACTGTAATTCTCTTAAATAAACCGGGGGTACAGCAAGAAAAGTACCCACGGAACAATCATGTACTAAATAACTCTAACATAATCGTGTATCTTTAAATTAAACGCATGAGCATTCTGACTGCTTAAATATCCCAAACAGTGGCATAATTTGCATCCTGACATAAATTTTTTAACTTCATTACTCCTGTCAAAACCTCCAAAATTCGATAAATGAACTGTTCCAATCTCAAAGTGGACACCTCATGTTCACCAGCGTTGTGGGGTACACAAACGCCCTTTCATATTTGATATCATTCTTGTGTGAAAATGGCGTTATGTCCCACCCAAAGGTACAGCAGAATAGCAAACCCGAAACATTTCTCCTAGACCTCTTTTATACTCCTAGAATCCTGAAAATAGATGAACAAGAATTGCTCTCAGCTCCGTAGGCAAATGCAAGGTTCTAAATCATGCCACTAGATTCTGAATAGCATGTGTAAAATGATTAAATGTTTTTCTTTTAACTCGAGTATATGTATTCGAGATAGGATTTAAATGCATTTTTGGGTGTTGAACAAAATTTATGTTTGTTGTTCTGGTATATTTTTTTTAAAATGAGAAATCGTTCTAATGAGGTTAATCCTGGGACTAAAAGGAATTAGATCTTTGAATTGAGAGAAACTCATATCTAACTATCCTATACTGATGATATTGTCAAATGTGGAATATTAAGCTGAGTTTGATACCTTTATAGGACATAAACTTTCTGATGTTTGATACAGTTGTACCCTGAGCATGTTAGTGTGTGGCCAAGAATCCCTTTTTATGGTTGTATAATCTATTAATTAATTGGCTGCAGGAAACAGAAAAAGAACAAGGCAGCAATGGATGCAACATGTAAAAAGGTTGCCAGCCTTATAAATGGCAATGCCATGAAGCGAATGGAACTTCTGGAGAAAGAAAACCATCTGGTAGTTTTTCTCTTTCATTTAGGAATTGTGGGCTTACTCATTTATATTTCGATATCATATTTATATATACAAATAATATTAGGTGGTATATTTATATGTAAATAAAAATAAAATATAAATTTTATTAATTTATCTTAGAACTTTATTTTAGTTATATTAATCAACCATACCACTTCCTCCCTTATATGTATAAATATAATATATATTACATGTACTATAATATCATTTAAACGAATTGTATGAAATTATTGAAAATAGGCCTATGGGCCTATCAAGAGCCTTGCCTGACCTGTCCTGTTTAACCAAAAGGCCATGCTTAAACCTAAAGCATGCATATTTCCGCTATTAGCGTCTTTGTTCTTACTGCATTTGCTGGAGGACTCTATTTGGTGAGAAGGATGTTAAAAAATTGTCTTTTCCCATCTATTCTACTTGTGGGTTTGTCTAGTTTGCTGTGAGGTGAATCTCAATTCTCATGTTAGTTATAATGACTGTTTACTAATGATAGGGTGTGGAATTACAAGGAAAATACAATGAAATGGAAGACTTGAGGAGGCAGGAAGAAACTTGTCGGCAAAGATTTTTAAAGGCTAAGGAGGAACTTGCTGCTGCTGAACGTGAACTGGAGAATCTGCCTCATTATGAACCTCCAAAGGAAGAGATTGTGAGTTGGTCTTTCCAGTTGATAGTTATAGTATTCAATAGTTGGCTCCTTCAAGATATCCCCCCCCCCCCCAAATTTGTCAGTGCCCCATTCAAACATCACGGCTGTAACATTGTACATTAAGTTGAGTAGAATGCTTGTAATTTCTGAGATTTTTTTTTCCTCTGTTTGTCTCATGGACAATGATAATGTCTGGGGCTTATTTTCAGGAGTATGGATGCTTCGAAGTTGAGGATCCATAAATCTCCTGAAGTTTGCCTTTTTTGGAAAGAAAGAGAAGGTTTTTGATGTTTTGTTTTAAAAAAAAAAAAGAAAAGAAAATACTGAAAAAGGAAAATTTCAGAGAAATTCATGGATCTCAACTTCAGAGAAGCCATTTTTGCAAAGGGATTTGACAGCTTTGCCGCATGTTTAGCTGTATAATTTTTCTTTTTTCTTTTTTTTTTTTTTAAATTTTTTCCCCCTTTAATTAAATTGTTATGGTCTTGCTCCTTTATCACAGAAAAATGTCCTATTCTCATCATGTTCATTCTTTTTCTTAATAATTTTGCCTTCTGCTCAAAATTCTGAATTGCGCTTAAAGAAATTGCTATGATACATCTTAATAGTGATGGATGGGGTAGCTATTGATGATACATTTTTTTAGTTTGCTTTTTATATACTGATGCATTTAATTTTTCAATCTTATTTTCTCCAGGGTTAATTTTAATATCTACTTTTATTTTCTACATTTAAGTACTACTAGCTAATTCTGATTACAATGAATGCACCACTACCCACTTTTGCCCCTGGTAGATACGTCTTAGGGCCTCCTGTTTTCAAAACTTTTTTTGTTTTGGGAAAAAAAAACATGTTTGAAAATGTGTTTGGTTGTGTTCTGAAAAACAAAGTTAAAAATTTGTTCTAAAAAAAATATATCAGAACATCTTTTGATATTTTGACACTTTTTGTTGTACAAAATTAAATAAGTGGAGAACATTGTATTTTCTTAAATGACAATCATGCTAATAAAGCATACTATTATTTCACCCTTCATTTCACCATTTTAGACGTGTTTTTTAAAATAATGATTCAAACAGTTTCTTTAAAAAAAATTTTCCCCGAAACTTGTTCTGAAAAATTACCCTACAGAATTGTTTTAAGAACATCAAAATAAAGAATAGAATCTAGCAAGCTCTAAATCCCTGTTATTTTGTGTTTATAATGCTATAACCACATGCATTTGTCTTCAGGAAAGACTAAAAGATGAAATTTTGAACTTGCAAAATTCTGCATCTCAAAAGAGGCTAGAGAAGTCAGAAACAGACAAATTTTTATATCAGAAAAAGTCATCATTGGCACAGTGTATAGACAGGTAGAATTCAGATTAAAGTTGAATTGCTTTATTACTGTTGTAAACACGTGTATGGCTATTCCATTTAATGTGAATTTGCAGGTTGAGGGAGATGGATAGTAAAAATACTAAGTGTTTGCATGCGTTACGAGATTCAGGGGCAGAGAAAGTAATGGAAGCTTATAAATGGGTGCAAGATAATCGCCATTTATTCAATAAGGAAGTTTATGGTCCTGTACTGCTGGAGGTGCGTTTAATCAGCCATATGGTCATAGGAATGACTGGCTCTTTTTACAAGTCTTTGTTACATTGTTGATTGCAAATCCAGGTTAATGTCGCAAAGCAGACTCATGCTGCCTTCCTGGAGGGTCATGTTCCTTATTACATCTGGAGGGTACCCTTTATTTCTCATTAGAATGCTGTTCCGTATTATGTCGTCTAAAGATAATTTAATGCTTTTCATTTCTTCTCTTGGTTTTGATAACACGTCTTAGTCTCATGATGCTATTCCTTATCTTTATTAACTAGTTGACCACTTCAATTGCTCGAGGAGAACATAACTGTGAGGATGCGAAGAATCAAACTTATTTAAAAATAGAAATAGGTGTCAATATTTATTTAATTTGGTGAGATTGTGAGTAAACATTTTCTGGCAAAATGAATTAAAAAATTTCCTATTGTCACTGTCAGTGCCTCCCTCTATCCTAGTTACAGCTATTAACTATGTTTTTAAACTTTAATCATCCCAGTGTTGCTGAAATCAACTATCTTGCACATTGAAATGAATTCAGAATTGCCATTACTGGGCATTATTTGAATAAAATGACTTGGTTAATGACCAATAAGGACAATCTCGCAGGATAAACAGAGCTGACCTTTTACCTCCACTTCTTCATGTTTCTAATAAGAATCTTAACGCCTCTAGAGGAAGTCTGTTTTAATTTCTAATTCTTTTTATTTATTTCGGTTCTGTTTGATCCAGTCTTTCATTACTCAAGATTCTGGTGATCGGGACCTTTTGGTAAAAAGTCTGAGCTCCTTTGATGTTCCAGTATTAAATTATACTGGTGATGATGGTAGTCAGAGAGAGCCATTTCAAATTTCTGAAGATGTAAGTTTTCTGGAGTCTTTTTCTTTTGTCTCCATTAAAAGAATGTGGAAATATCTTCGTTATTGTACGGTTTATTAGCATTTATTAGGCCTATTAACGAGTTTTTACTCCTTTGTCTTTCCTTCTGTATATTTATTTGGTGTACTTTATCATTCAGAATCAATGCAATACACATTTTTCTTGCAAACAACGATTACTAATTTTTGTTTTGTTTTTCCCCCTGATAATTTGTAACTTCAACAGATGCGTACTCTTGGTATCTACTCACGTCTTGATGAAGTTTTTGATGCTCCCACAGCTGTTAAGGAGGTTTTGATTGGACAGTTTGGTCTGGATCATTCAGTATGTATTTGTTTTTTATTATTGCTTACAAGCATAAACCTAGGATATCTATATTGGTCTATTGAGTCAGATCCTACAATTTATATGATTGCCTTTTTATTTGCTTTCAGTATATTGGAACAAGAGAAACTGATCAGAAGGCAGATTGGGTCCAAAAATTGGGCATTTTTGACTTTTGGACTCCAGATAATCACTATCGTTGGTCTAAATCTAGATATGGGAATCATGTATCAGGAGTTGTTGAACAAGTACAACGTTCGAGACTTCTTTCATACAGTAGGTCACTCATGTCACCTTTCCAAAATCAATATATTGATTTTGTAGAGTTGTTTAAGCTGCCAGTTTCTTGGCCCTTGCCCACCCTGACTACTGTTCTTTTCAGATATAGACGCTAGAGAAATCGAGAAGCTGAGGTGTCACAGAATGGACCTTGAAGAATCTATAGAAACCTTGGAAGCAACTTCTAAAGGATTACAAGATGAGGAGAGACGCCTAAGCAATGAAGCAGCTAATCTCCGCAGACAGCGGGTAGGCAAGAGAAAATTCATTCTTTACTGGTTTTCTCCTTTCAAGTGCTTGTGCAACATAATATGTTTGATGTTAAGCAAAATCTGTGTGCAAGGCACACGCTGATCTCAAACGTAATGCATTAATCTTTCCAGGATGAAATAAACACTACTGTGCTTAAAGAGAAGGAAAAGCGCCGGGATATCATGCGCACTATTGGTAGGTGACTAAGGGACATATGGTAATAGTAGTACTAGGGGTAATTAAATAAATAGGAAGGGGATAGTAGTCTATAAATAAGGTACTGGAGGTTGTATTAGGTGTCTGTTGAATTGAATATTGCTCTTTTACTCTTATCCTCTCCTCTACTGTTATCACTTTAGTCTGGCATGCTGCAGTATAGGAGAGTGTCGTATTTGCTTTCTGTGTGTGTCTCATCAAGGACCGCATTATCTCAAAAATTTGAGATTTTAGAAGATCCATGATTTATTTTTTAAATATCATTAGCACGCTCTGCATGTGAGAACCTTTTGGTCCCTTATTGTCTTGGGGGGAAAAAAATTCAGACTTAGTTTCTGGTGGATTTTTAATTTAATTATGAAGAATGAGGCTAGTGGGAATCAAATTCTTGATTGGTTGGTTTGCTAATATTTTTATATGTATCTAATAGATTGAATCTGTTATGATCCTAGAACTGAGGAAAAGGAAATTAGAGTCAGTGGCGGTGGAGGGTGATATGGATATGGTTATTGCTAAGCTGACTGATCAAGCAAGAAATTGTAATATTCAGCGATTCCATAATGCAATCAAAATTAAGGTGATTTAGGATAGGTCTTTTGATCCTTTCATATTGTCATTTGTGCAGGTTTAAACTGACTTAATGCAATTAGAATTGAGTATTCTTGTTCTGAATGATTTACTTTGAAATATCTTGAAAATATTTGTTTTCTTTATTCTTCCATTGGATTATGACAGAACCTACTTCTTGAGGCAATTGGTTATAGACGGAGTTATGCTGAAAAACATTTGGCTACTCTTGACTTTGATGCTAAGGTAATTAATTACTTAAGCTGCTTATTTGTCCTTTTAAAGCAATTCTTCAGGACAGCTTTCAAACAAAAGGCCTGGGTAGTTTGAGGTAATTTTTGAAGACAGGCAGCTGGAAGCAAGGAAGATATCTGTCTTACTAGCTGTCACTCATTTGCACTATTTGAATGCTTGAAAATTCTAACTTGTAAAAGTAAAATTATACTTTTCCAGTTCTCAATATAAGACTTATTTAACTAATTTGATTAGATTAAAGAAGTTAGGTAAATTAATTAATTATAAGAAATATGATATATTTTTTCTTTCTTGATATCCTCCCTCCCTCTCTTACATGATTATGGTTGAAGGAGTATCAATAGAGGTAATTTAGGAAATATTGTGCTCTTGAATTTAGGACCAAAATTAACTCAACAATTATGTCCTACATTAAGGACTGGAGGAGTATTAAAAACAAACTTAGACATAAAAATGCACGTTATAACAATCACTGCTCATTAGATTGTGTTTCATGAATCATCAAGAACTTTATCAATTAATTATCTCGGTGTGGCTGTCTACAACTCAGTCACATCATCTCATATGTTGGCAGTTGGCACAACTATTATGCCCTTTTTGGTAATAATGAAAATGGGAAAGGGAATGGTTATTGGGACCAACCTTCTATTGGTCTAAATTTTCTAATTTGAATGTGTTTGTTATGAATGAAAAATTAAAAATGTCTGAGGATAGAAAAGGGAAAAAATAATTAAATGACATAGATAACCTCTAATTAAAAAAATTGGAAAAAAACCATTGCATAATTAGAGATGCCATTGAACTTGTTGCTGCTGAGCGTAGTAGCCATTGATGTTGAACCCAGATGTTGTCGCAGTTGCCCAATGCTACTATTGCCTTCTTCTTCTTCTTCTTCTTTTTTTTTGCTTTTGGGGTGGGGGTTAACTGCTGGTAACGATGATTGATTTGCAACCCATCTTCACTGTTGAGCAGAATTATGTATGTTGTATGTTGTATGTTGCATATTGTATATTGGTGATCAATAAAAGTAATATTCCCCGTAAATAGAAGAAAAAATGAAAGATAATTCCGTAAGTTTTGGAATTTGTACCACCAGAATATTAAGTTTTGGTACATTTTGATATGTCAAATTATGGATATTTGGTGCTTTAATATTAGTATAATATGGCAAAGTCTCTTATTTAACCTCCTTTCCTTTTCAATTGTCTTAGATTAGGGAGTCGGAGGCCAGTTTGAAGCAGCACGAGAAGCTTGGTTTGCAAGCATCCTTACACTTTGAATCCTGTAAATAACTGATCCTTCATTGATTTTTAAATTTTTCCGAAGGTTCAGATTAATTGTTTTAACATCATTTTTAAACCATGTGTGACTTGCAATTCCCTTTTGGTTACTTCAGGCAAGAAGGAGACTGAGAATTGTCGACAGCTGCTTTCAGAATGTTTGAGGCGTGCTGAATCAATTGCTCCCATCACTCCAGATCTTGAGAAGGAATTTCTTGAGGTATGTTTAGAGATTTGTTTGCAGGATTGTTTAGTTGTTGTTATGCTAAGTATGCATGTCAACATTACAGCCCCACTATTAAGTGAAGGCCCTTGAGCAGTTTGAATTTTTACCAATGTTATATAAGTGTAATTCGGACAGAGGAAAGATGGATAGGGAGAGAAAGAGAGGGAACTTCGGTGGAAAAGAGAATAACATGTTAACAGAAGAGATAGAAAACAGAGGGATTAGGGACTGGATAGGCAACTGTATTATTCACGTAATCTGAGTTACGAGTTGGTATATTGCCCTATGTATAGGCACTGACTCTAAACATATATTTTGCTTTTCTAACTGTCTGTTTCAATGGTGGCCATTATTTTTATATAGTAGATACTGCATGTATCATTGCGTGGCTTATGATCCCCCATGAGCCTGTCACATTGGTGTCAAGCATGGAAGTAGTTTCTGTCATAATGCAGAATTTCTGGGCAAAAAGCATGCTAATACTTGTCTGATATGATTTATTTAGATGCCCACTACTATTGAGGATTTGGAAGCTGCAATCCAAGACACCACTTCCCAAGCCAATTCTATACTTTTTGTCAATCATAATGTGTTGGAACAATATGAGAACCGTGAACGTCAGGTATCATTTCGGTGATTTTTTGTATCCATTTTTCTTCTTTTTTCTTCCCAATTTTAAATGATTGTCTGTATTTGTAATCACCAAGCAGATAGGGGCTTTAGCTGCAAAACTTGAAGAAGATAAAAAGGAAGTAAGTAGGTGTCTGGCTGAAGTAGACACCCTAAAGGTGAGTAAATCAGATTTCATGAATTCGCGTTTGCAGATTTTACGTTAGTTTCCTTCCCTTAGCAATGGTTTCATGGATGCATTTCAGTATTCCTTTGATTGGTGATCAACCATGGTCCTTTTAAGGTAGCAAATACAATGAATTGGCTTGCTTTGTTATATCTGTTTAATCCTCCTTGGCGCACTTTTGTTAGTTTTGGCGGATATCTTATTCTCTGCCAACTAAGTCTGCCTTTCATGTATTAACGTATTCTATGTTTATAGCAAATAGACCCTGGTTCTTAGCTTCTTCCTGAGCTTTAACAATGATTTATCATTATAAAAAGCGAACGCTGAAAGTTAAATCATAATATTAAACATAATTTTTTTATTAAAAAAAGGAATAGCAAATCATCCCATGTGGAAGACCAAGTAATGATAGAATTGGAGATGCACTCATCTGGTATCTTTTTGTCTGTGCCTGGCTGTGTTGACAAGATATAATTGTCATGATAGAAGCTCCAACATTTTAGCTATTTGCAGGGGACATGGCTTCCAACGTTGAGGAACCTTGTGGCCCAGATAAATGAAACCTTCAGTCGTAATTTCGAGGAGATGGCTGTTGCAGGAGAAGTTTCACTTGGTATGTACTTAGCCAATCTGAAGAGGTCTTACTAGTTTTCTTGGTTCAATTTCCCTTCAATGGTTCTCTCCCCTTCCCAGATGAGCGTGATGTGGACTTTGATCAGTTTGGGATACTCATAAAAGTGAAGTTCAGGTGACTGCTGTGTTAAGACCTTATTAATTTATTTTCGTAGAACATATGCATTCATGAGATCCAAAGTCTGTTGTTTTTTAAGAACTATGGTGAACAACCATTAGGCTTCTTCTATATAGCCCTTTTAAGGTCTAGCCAAAGAATAATCCCTTTTTATGATGGATGCATGTGGAAAACTTGTAATTCACTCCCCAGTTTGCATTAGTTCTGCAGGAATGCTTTCTTTCTTCCTTCTAAAAGATGTAAGCTTTGCATGTAGAAATTAATTCTATGGTAATTGATTTCTGCCTTCTGAGATTTACAAAGAAATCCAAATGTAACCTTTTGGTCATAGTTCGCATACTATTTTTGGAGTAATATCCATTTATTACAGGATTTTTCTCGAACTGTCCATTGCTTTGTCTTTGTTTATGCTGTCAGAATTGCCTTTTTCCCTATTCCAATGCTGCCATCTCTTACACCCTATATATGTTTTGATATCATCAGACCAACAGGACAGCTTCAAGTTCTGAGTGCCCACCATCAGTCTGGAGGGGTATAACAGAATGATTCATTTTAATTACATTGATGCTTTCATAAAGATATTCTCTCTTAATGTACTTTGAGACGTATTTTTCAGGAGCGATCAGTTTCTACTATTCTTTATCTTGTTTCTCTTCAAGATCTTACCAACTGCCCATTTAGAGTGGTTGATGAGATTAATCAAGGTATTTACTGTTTGAAGTAATTTCTTTTACTGTTTGAAGTAATTTCTCTATAGGCTGAGACGTTTGTTAAGAATGTTTTTTCCCTCAGGCATGGACCCAATAAATGAAAGGAAAATGTTCCAGCAACTAGTGAGAGCTGCCAGCCAGCCAAATACACCACAGTAAGTACTAACACTATTAATCGATTCCTCCCCTGCATTATTTTTGTATGGCCATGATAAGGCAAGAACATTCGTCATTCTTGTGTTTTTAAGGTTCTAGATTGCATGCAGTAAAGAGGGCCACCAATAATTTTTTTCCGGTTCACCATATGTAGAAAAGTATGTGCTTATACATAATTTTCTTCTCTGATGCATTTGCTGCGGAGGCTAAATGCAACTGTGGTTGTTTTTCTTGATTAGAATGCTTTAATTTTTGAAGGGTGGGAAAATGCTTCAAGTATTAGCCTCGGATCATAGATGGAATAAAAGCTTTGCATTGCTAAACTAGCATCTGTATGAAATAATGGTGGAATGCTTACAGTTTATTATCTTGCTTACCTATAAAAGACATTAGTTGTAGTGTGGATATTTTTTTCCCCTACTCCACCACTTCTTTGACTCTTCTCAATAGGGGATAGCAGCTCTCTGCCTTTTATGCTATCCTGATTTGAGTAGAATGTTGGCATTTCCCTTGCTCCTTCATATATTATGATTTTAATGAGGAACCTGATGACAACCATCTAAAAGATTGCATTCAAGTTTTGTCTGAAATGATACCCCGAATGGAGCTAGCAGGTCTTGAAGCTTATATCTTATCAGAACACAAAAACCTATCTTCAGCCATGAATTGATTATGTTTTCTACACCTGCTTACGTTAAACGTTTGGTGTAATTAATAATGAAGTGCCTTAAATGTGATGCAGATGTTTTTTGCTTACCCCAAAGTTGCTACCGGATCTGGAATACAGCGAAGTGTGCAGTATTTTAAATGTAATGAATGGGCCTTGGATTGAGAAAGTCTCGGAAGGTAAATTTACCTCTGCTAGATGGTTCTCTGACCATTACTTCTTGGACATCTCACATCATCATGGTAGAAATTGTAGTGTTAGAATTGTAACTACCAAGGTATTTTAAATTTGCATCTTTTGTATCACAATTGAAATTGCTATAGAAAAAATGCCAAGTGGTATTTTTAGTTGAAGCTAAAAGGAACCTAATGGGAGACTCCTTTTAAATTTGGGAGAATGAAAATTAAGGATCTCTCATAAAAAAGGTTAATGTCAAATCAGGACCTCATCGTAACTCGTATTCTCAAATTGAGTACTCATCTTCCTGCCTTGTTTGGTTGTAGTGGTTTTTAATGTGAAGCCAAACGTGTATATAGAAATCAAATGCTATCAACTTTGTAGATGCGTTAGAGGTGGATTTTACTGAAAAAATCTGCATGCTTATGGAAATTTTTTATCCTTATTATATTTTTGACGTGAGATTTTTTATCTGTTAATCAGTTTGGGGTGAAGGTGATCGATGGGGGAAAATTGCAGGGTTGATGTTAGAGAATCAAAGCTGAGAGAAGTCTAAGCGTACTTCTCATTGGTCATGGCTTCTGTTTAATATCTTTAATCTTTTGTATTGAAACGACCGTGCTTTTGGCTCATTGATCCATTAGGAATATTTAATTTTGTATGTAATTTTCATCTTTGATCAAATGGCACAACCCTTTGTAAATATTGAATTTCAAATATAATCCAAGTGCTAACAGGTTTTGGGGGAATATTTCAAGCTTACGATGAATTCTGCAATGGCTTTGTCCTTGCCACAATTGTTTGAGTTTCACATGAATATAAAACGTGAAAAATTTATTAACGAGTTACATTGTTTACAAGTTAAATGATTTAAAAAATGATGATTTTCTAGACCTAGGATTATTTTCAAGTTTAAAACTTGGATACCAGGATTTGTAATCATCCACTTATTGGGATATCCACAGAGATTTTTCATTGCTGATTTGATCCTATTTCGTTTTCATTTATACGGTTTAAGCTATGGTATTGTATTCTAATCCAAATTGATACAGCCCTTGTTTTCCATCTTATTCCGAAATTTAGCAATAATTTTAACGATTCAAGAAAAGGAAAATTACATTAGTTCAACTCTAAAACCCTCAATTGCCCCAATAAAGGGAATTGATTCTCCTTCAAAGAATATATATATACTTAAATATTATAACAAAACATTCTCAAGGGTTTTTTTAGTCTTTTAAAACAGCTATAAAAAAGTTATCACGACACAAGTGATGTGAGGAGTTGAGGACCGAAAAACACGTTACAAAATTAAGACAGAGGCTAAATGCACTTTGACTATTGGAAAGACAGATCATTCTGGGAGCCTGGTAACACTGGAATACAAAATGGTAAAGAAAAGGATACAAGTTTAACTTCCTACACCAATTGTGACGAGTGCAGCGAAAAAGCTGAAGAAAATGGTCAAAACCTATACATAGATTCAAAGATTAATAACTTGATGATGGCATAACAAAGAATATTCACTAAATTAGCGGTGAAGTAAATACAAGATTATCCTCCCCTGGGGTCAGAAATTATCCCGCGTGCATACTTTTGGGGCCGGATTCCAACATAGGTATGACCACCAAAGGATCTCCATGTTCGTCCCTGGGCTCTATGTCACTTCTTGCCATCTTTTGACTGATCAGGTATTTGGTGCAAGATCAGAGGCCCTAACCCAGGGAGCTTATTAAAACGAAGCAAAACGAGCATTTACAGGTGTACTCCTACTTCAGATATTAGATGGAAGCTTCCAGCATCTGTCTGATGTTTAACCTGATAGAAGGTCCCATTGCTGATATGTGTGCACTTCTCCAGTAGACACCTCTAACACCAGAGGGTCTGTTTGCTTCTACTGATTTCTGTTTAAGAAAATTATGACAATCAATCAAATTCAAAACCCCGTTTGTGAGTAAATGCATAAACACAAGCAACTCTGGTTGGTTAGAACATACTATTGCAGCAATTAAGTTTACAAGAAGTTCCTCCTCCGAAAAGTCGGCTTTTCCAAAAGGCAAATGCACAATTCCAGTTTTATCTGCTCTGTATATAATCTTTTCTTGCTTGAATTTTGCTATAGCCTGAAAAAGAAAAAATTCAAGGCACTCTGATTCAGTAAATGCTTTTGAAAATAAAAGAGTTGCTTCATGTCACAAGCTTTTGGATAATATACCTGAGGAATATTGGCTGTTACAGTCCCAGCTTTTGGATTAGGCATCAGGTCCCTTGGCCCCAGAATTTCACTTAGACTAGCAATCTGATATAGGGATCATTGAAAATTATAAGAGTTTCCAGAAAAATAAATAATCCACCTCTAAATGAAGTCTACAGAATTACCAAAAGTTCAATCTAGGGAGAGATGTTATGTATGTAATAAAAATGACTTACATCACATCACAAAATTAACCTTAACCCCACACTAAGGTTTATTACAACATAATGAGCAGCAGATAAGCATCTTATCAAAGCTTTTTGTATTGAAAACAATAATCAATTGGGTTGCATCTCATATCATGTTGTTTACAATATTTACGTCATTGGAAAACAGGTGGGCAATAAAGAACCTAGCAGGCTTTACATTAACAACCAGAAGAATGATCAACTGAACAGGTGGATTTCAGCTCACATCAGGAGCCTATTTTGTAAATAATTTTGCCAGGACCAACCATTGAGATTACTTACTGAAAATTCAAGGCAGCATTATTCAATGCGTTCTTTGAAGTATATTCATAATAATAATGAAAAAAAAAAAGAGAGAGAGGAAGTTTAGCATTGGGAAGAGAAGGCACCTTAGGCATCATATCAGGAGAAGCAATCAATTTATCAAATTCCATATATCCTCCTTTTATCTGTTCTATCAGGTCCTCTCCACCCACCAAATCTGCTCCCGCATTTTTTGCTTCATCAAACTGTTCCCCTAGATAAGTTATGAATTATGAGTGGCAATAAGGCTGGTTGGAAATATTAAGAGTATGCCATGATTCGTGATATGATCAGTCTTTTCCTTTTTCATTTTTATTGGAAGGCTAAAACAGAAAACCCTGGCCTCATTAACAAGTCACTAGAATTGATGCTCACTCAACCCATTATACCATAATACCACATATGTTAGATGGGCAGCATCCAGATCATTATTTCCAAGTCAATTACTCAAAAAATGTTTATTTTGAGAAATCTTTAGAAGCATTAAAATAAACACGTCACAAATATTCCCTGAGGGGGAAAAAGGAAAATTACACCCACACGCACGCATAATCCCAGGAAACCAAGTATGGGAGAGGTCTTTGTAGAATGTAATTATAAAATGATGGCACTGTTTGCGTAAGGTAACATAAGACTCAGGGAGTTAAGTGTTTTTTTAACATTAATTATGTGAGTTGGTAAAAAGGCTTCATCCCAAACGACAGAAAACTATCCCATTATAATGTGAAGTTCAAACTGAAAAACACTAACAAAGTTACAATTAAGAGGAATGGATTAGGAAAAAGCAACTACAGTGCTACAATTATTTATTGAGCAAAGATTATTTACAAATTAACATTTCTCCCAGAGGACAAATAGATGCATGGAAACCCTCCAAAGCAAGTAAATAAGCATAGGCTTAAACAGGTGACCCATCGTTCACAAAGGACTATATCTGGATGGCTGAAAGTGGGAAGAGCTTCCCAGAATAAAGAAACAGGCGACCCATCATCCACAAGGAATAATTGCATCATGCCAGCCATTTGTTAATAAGGAATCTTCATATTTAAAAAGAAATCATAGGATTGTATGAAAAGGGGCCTGTCCTTTGCCCTTGGAACACGAATGGTTACAAGATAGAAATATAGATGCAAGCAGCAAGTCAGTAACTTCTATCTGACTACTGTTTTTGAGAATTCCCTAATATCCAGGATAGTATGAACTTTAAGCACGTCATGACACACAAGATTTTATACATGCTCATTTATATTTTTCTTCTTTTGGAAAGAGTATATAAGAAGGCAAAATGTCCACCGCTTAATAAAGTAAACTGGAATTAATCAGAGGAAAGAATGACACTTGTGAAGCATGAGTACCTTGAGTAAGAACAGCCACTTTGAGAGGCATTCCAATTCCCTTGGGTAAGCTTACCTGTTACGATTTGATGAAAGAGGAAAAATTTATGTGTTACTGTTATATTTATAAGAACTTCACAATTTAGATACTAAAATCAAGCAAAGAGCAGAAAACTCACCGTTGCTCTTATTTGTTGGTCATTATATTTAGGGTCAATGTTGAGACGAAAATGGGCTTGTACTGTTCCTACAAATTTTGTATTTGCTGTTTGTTTTAGTAAAGATATTGCCGTCTTTAAATCATACTCCTTTATACTCTCCCTCAGTCCATGAACCTCTAACAACCTCTTATATCTCACCTGGTGAGACAACAAAAAAACATTTAGCCTTGAAGGGAAAACACAGCAAATACAAAAAAATTCAAAGAAACAACAATCACCTGAGCTTAAAAGAGAACAAAAACGACTTTTAGATAATTTTGGCAACAAGCCGAAACTCTTGGAAGTATGCAAGAGTCGAAAAATGAAAATCAATATAAAATATTGCATGGACTGTGAGATATACATAAGAACAACCAAAAAGTCTAGAAGTGCATATTACCCCTCCAAGTTGACAAGTGAATATATTATAGTCACCACTTGCGTAAGACCGATGTAGATAAATCTTAAAGCTTAATTAACAAGACAAAAAGAACATGAAAATAAACAACTCCCCCATGATTCATTGAGAATAATATACAAGTCAAGCGCAAACGTATGGCATTCTATAAGACTAATCCAAAACTCTGGGTAAAAATCAATGAAATTGAAAGTAGGAATTTATAAAGGAGGCACCGCAAGACCCTGTACTACTTCTCTTTCGGCAAATGACAATTGACAGCACTAAGGTTAAAGCCTAAGACCTACAAAACCAGCCATTCCCTTCAACACTAAACTGCACCTAATAGCTTTCTGAATGTGTAATGACGATGCTTTGCATATTCATCTCAATTACATGATAGCAAGTTTGAAAGCCAACTACGAAACAATAATTATAATTTGCCAAAAAAGAGAATACACATGAATAAGCGAAATTAGGGTCCAAATATTATAGAAGAAAGCGAAGGCATACTCTTAGTTTATAAAGAGGCAATACGCTCTGAAACTTATTTCCCTCAGTTAAAAAGTATACCTATACAAGCAAAATCCAATAATCAAATTCATTGCATAACCCCATTATTCATAGAAAATCAAGACAATTAAAAAAAAACAAAATTTACGCATACCCTCTCCGTTTTGAGAGGCAATGCAGCCTTCACTTTCTTAGGCTTGGGTTTAGTAACAGTATTCGCGGCGGACCCATCATCCCTCTGTTCCACACTCTCAGCAACCTCGGCCTTCGTCGCCAAAGAAGCCACAACGACACGGGAAGCCCTAGAATTAGCTTCCTTCTGCAATTTTACGTCGATCCATCTGCCAGAGATTCTCGCTCTGGACTTTAAACGCAATGGGAAAAGAGAGAAATTACTAGACAAGGGTTTGGGATTGAAGGAGGACAACGAGGGAGTGAGGTCTTGAGGATGTACAGAGGAAGTGGGAGGAGTGAGCATGAGAGATGGATGTGTGGCGCAAGTAGCCATGGCGATAATGGAGGAGCTTCTGGAAGCAAAGCTTTGGCTAGCAATCTATATATGAGAATGAGAGAGATAAGAAGCGGTTTCTTGTTTCTGTGGTCCATTGCTGAGCTGATCATTTATTTTTAGTAAATTTTAGAAAATAAGAAGGCTGAAAAAATATTGCCACAAATAATTAAAATTACATCAAAACCTATTTTATTTTATGGAGTAAAAATAATTTATGCATAAGTCTAAATATATCCACAAGAAATGAGACGACAAATCTAAATCACAAGCGACTTGTAAAACAATTTTTTTTTTTTGTTTCTTCTTATGCATGTTTTTTATTATTTTCAAAATTCTTATTTAAAACCATTTTTTTATTTTTATGTGTTTATTCTTTTATATATATATATATATATATATATATTCAAACACTATCAAAACCGGGTGATTCTCTCAAACTATTAAATTGAGGACTCGAATTAGACTTTATATTAAAGACTATGAGTGTGTTTGGATGAAACCAAACCGTGGTTTGAAAAAGTAATTCTGGAGAATAGATTCTGGGGAGAATAGATTCTGTGAAGAATAGATTTTGTAAAAAAGTGATTCTGAGAAGTGAGAGTGTTTAGATAGTTGTTATCAGAAGCACTTTTTATATATACAAATTACTAAAAAAAAGACATAAGTTAATATGATATTTTAATTTAAAGGAATAAAATTGTTAATAAAATATTTTTTACCAACATAATTAATAATACATAAGATAATATAATTAATAAATAATTAATGTGTATATATATTTATAAAATATAAGATTAAATATGTTTATCAAAAAATATGTTTATAAAAAAAATAACAAGATACATATCATATAAGCTCTCACACTCTCTCTTTTTTCTCCAAAAGCAAAAAAATTTTGCTTTTTTCCAAAACCATGGTTTTGGAGTCAGAACCATGGTTTTGACCTAAAACCATGGTTTTGGTTTTTAGAGGGGGTGTTTGGGTGATTGACACCCCAAACCATGGTTTGGGTCCCCAAACCATGGTTTGGGGTGTCACCCAAACACACCCTATTATATATGTAAGAAGCTCAACTGTCTCTTATCTTTGATTTTAATCTATCACTTTTATATAAGCGCTAAAGTTCTAGGCATTGAATTGTAATGAGTGAAAATGTAAAAATTAAGTTAAAATCAAGTAAAAACTATATGGATTAGGTTATACACCAAAATATAAGAATTGAGTTAAAACTACGAGGATAAAAAAAATTACTTTTTTCCTTTTATTAATAAATAAAACAGTTTAAGGTATTTAAATATCTTGAAAATATCTACAAATAGTTACCCAGTACCTCAAATTTTTTTAGTCTTATGTGTCTTGAAAGTTTATTTTCATAATAAATATATCTTAATAGTTATCCATTGTTAAATTTTTTAAGTATTCCTTCATAGATACTTTCAAAATATTCACAAACCTTAGCCCATAAATAAACTACTTTTAATTTCAGTGAATTAGGTGAGAGTAATTTATAATAAAAAGGAGGAGAATATATATTAACATAATTTAAGCTTCTTGGCTCTTTGCCATGTTCTTATCATCAAACACTACTGGAGCACCCCCAACTTCTACACAAAATATTCAAGTAGTCGTGGAAGATTGCATGTAAATTTTTTTTTTTTATGGAGGTCAAAATTTTGCATGAAAAAATTTGTACGTAATTTACAAAATCCACAAAAATTGAATCCAAATCTAAATACCTTTTTATTTTTATTTTTTTGGCCAAGGAGAAAATCCAAATCCAAATATCAAATGGAATGAAACTGACATTAATATCAATGTGGTGAACTGGTGATCAATAAAACTGAACGAACTGGGGACCAATGAATCACACGGAAGAGATTACACGTCATCATTTAGATGTGACACGTGTTGCGACCAAATTGACTGCTCCTTCAGAATGCATATGAGCCACACCTTAGTCTTGTCTTTTTTCAAAAAGGCAATTACTTTAATAATAATTTCTTTACGAATTATTATTAATGTAATCCTAATTATTATATAAAATCATAATTAAATTCAAGAAATTCATTTTAATAATTTAAAAATTATTGTAAATTATTGTTTGTCTAAACTCTCGTTATGGCTATTTCAAAACTCGATAAAGGTCTCCTAAATTTGTATCGAGATTTTGTTCCTAAGAAAATAATTATAATTATGATTGTAAACTTTTGAATAATATTTCTGTTTTGGGGAAAAAAATGAGTCATCAAAACGTACTTTTCCTCTCATCTGTGCTTGTGACCAGGAGACAAAAACGAAATGTCGTTTTGAGGTGGGTCTTCACACCTCAATATTAGAGGCTACAATCTCTCTATCACTAAAATATCCTTCTAGTATTCTTAATTTTCTGTGGTTAATAAATATCTTTAGCATTTTATACGAAGGCAGGTCAATTTAAGGTTGTAATTGTACAAGGTTCCAAAATATTGATGGATGGCCTTGGGACATTATGTTAGGTGATTCTGACTCGTGACTTATCTATAAGTTAGCATTATTATTCTACAAAGAAAAATATTTATCGATAGATCCAATTTGCAAAATAATTTTTAAATTAGGTAATCCAATTTGCAAATATTTATGGATGAATCTGATTCATCGCTTATCTACAAGTTAGCATTATTACTATTAATATATAGAGAACATATTTCTAACTCCTGTCTTTTAATAACTTGAATTCTAATTTTAGTTTCACACAAATAACAAAAAAATGGAGGGGAAAAGAGCCTTTTAAAAAAATATATATATAATTGTTAATCCCTTTTGATCCAATTTTAGTTTTTGTCCCTATAGTTTTATGAGGACTTGATTTAAGTTTAAGCATAATGATTAAAATCAAAATTTGTTGAAAGCATATAAATCATTTATTAAACTCAGACTACAAAATCATGAAACTATAAAAACTAAAACCAAATTAAATTCAATCAAACTATAAGAACTAACTATGATATTAACCGTTTTCCTCTCTCAATTAGGGAAAAAGGAAATACTAAAGCCAAATAACTTATCACTCGTACTTATTTTATGAAAAAAATCAATGTAAAGTCCCACATAAATAATTTAATAATGAATGCCTCATAACAAGTTAGTAGTATAGACTTATTGTCATCTCATGTACTGGAATTTGTCATTACATATATATATATATATGTCTATATTGTTGAGCTGCTCACTTATTGAAGGATTTTTTAGTGATTAAATTATTTTTGAGAAATTGCACAATGATTTTTTTCCTTATTTTATCTAGCTGGGTTACTCTCTTTGCACATAATGAGAAAACTCTGGGCTAAGCCCAAAACTTACTTATTTATGGAAAATAGCCCCACATATTGGTTATGGGCTTTGAGCTTGTTTCAGTCCATTACAAACTATGAAACTCAACAGTTAGAAATTCCATCTAAAACAGCAAAATAAAGTCAAGTCTAGCGAGAAGGAACTGATTTCCTATAACGTGATAAATAAATATTCAAATTTTTATAGAAAAGATACCTATATTTAATATCTGATCAGGATTGCTTCCGGTACCTATGCTTAAAAAAAAAAAGAAAAAAAAGAAAGAAGAAATCCATCTAAAATAGGAGTTTGAAATCAGCCCATTAATTATATAGCAATAGTGCCCGCATTAACTTAAAACAAGAAAGCCAATAATGTATTGTGAGGACCAATTCCCTGCAAGAGGGGACAGAATAGCGCGTGTTCTCTAATTCTCTTATCTGTTTTTTTTTTTTTTTTGGGCGGGAGAACCCTCTAATTCTCTTATCTTATGCTGGGCTTGATCCTCATTTTTAATCTTTCTCCTAAGATCATGTTTGGTTTGATTTATCTATTAAATCCTTAAAACTTCAAATATTGTGTGCTAAACATGAGGTCTTTGTCTCTTAGTTAGAGATAATTTGGAAATATGAATTAAAGATAAAATAAGAATATAATTGGTTCTGCCGATTTTGTCCAATTCTCTAGTTGGGCAATTTTCTTTCTCAATTAAAACGGATTTAGGATTGATAGTCTTCGGTTTAACTTGTTGAATTGGTGAGTCCAATCTGATTTTCAGAATATTGCCTAGTAGTAGTTTAAGTATGAATTATATAGTTTATATTTTAATTTTTAATAAAAAGTATTTGTTTTTTTGACCAAAAAAATTAAAAGTATTTGTTTTTCAATTTGGTAATTAAAAGTGAAATTTATTTTTTTTAATAACAAAATATTCCTGACCCAGATAATATCATAAAAAATGGGGGCATGGGATAATAGCAAGATTCAATCTTCCTAACTCAAAGAAAAAAAGAAGAAGAAGAGATCTTACTTTTAAAAAAATTAACATTTTCAATGGAAATGACTTTCCCATGTAAAATTCTCCAAGTTATATAAAGTTTTCAATTCCATAACTTAATATTCTCCTAATAATGTGCTATATTATATAGAGCTAGGTAGGTTGCCAGTAGTTGAAGATTCTCCGGATATGTCATTTTATATTAAGTTGGGTCTATTATTATTTATTAATAGGTTTAGCTTTTCAACTTTTTAGGGAAATTATTTTATTTTAAAATAAAGATTCGATTTCTTTATTACTCAAGAAAGTGACATAGATGAGCGACAAACACAACTTCAATTTAATAAAAAATTCAGTTCATAAAATTTAATTCGGTCTGGTTGAGTTTATTAAATTTAATTATTTAATGTAGTATTAATCTTTATATTTTATAATTCAATTACAACTCAATTTCTTTAAAAAAAAACGTAAGGATCAATTTATAAAATGCTGAATCTTGAATTATTGAGTTAAAGAATTATTGGATTACATGGACTAAATTGTAATTAATTCAAAATTATAGAGACTAAATAATTATTTTTTCATTTTAAAAAAACCTCAAAAGAGTGGTGAGCCATAATAGGTTAATATAATTTTGGTTTTGGTCTCTCAAATTTCAAATTTATAATTTTAGTTCTTGAAATTTAGTCTGCTTTAAAATGTTGGTCTTCGTAAATGTGATAGTGTTAAAATATATTAAAGTATTATAAATAATGTTAAAATGGTA